CAGATATAGAATAACTAAGCTTTCAAAACAAAAGAATTATTGGTTATCCTCTCATTCTATATATATTTCAAAACCTACACCTTTCCTATATAAGCCAAATCAGGTATCATGGCCAAATTATGGTTCTGAAATTTTGACTTTCAGAACTGAACTTCAGACTTGGCTTTCCCTCCTGTCATTCATAGATTCTCCCTTCATTCTTTTTTTTTTCCTTTAACAATTTTTAATCCTTTGGTTTTTTTCCATTCATGGTTTCTCAGCTTATTGTTTCTTGTGACATCTAAATCAGGTAGAGTATGGTTTTGCCAATAAGGATCCAAAATAAGCTGTAAAACCAGGTTTGCAAAGTCATAATAGATTATTCTGGTTAAGATAATCTGCAAACAGGAGGAGGAAATCCAAATATAGAATGTGAGATGACTGACAAGGAGAAGGAGGCACACTAGATTGTGAAGAATCCAACCGTGATGTGACTGTGACATCTGAAATGGTTTGTATTCCTGCTTGCTAAGGAACTCCTATCATCACTACACTGAGGATTCCATCTATTGCCTATGAAAAAGATCTTTACTGTCCTGAAGCAAGCTTCACTGAAACTGGTACAGTTTCATTTCTGTTCACAGCACAGAGGCGCATCCTACCCATATCATATCTACTTTCTATGAATAAAATGGAAGAGAATGCCACACAATGCAGTTTGCAGAACAATGGATAAACCAGGATGACTAAATAAGGATTATTTACTGCTTGGGACAGGGGGAAATCAACACCTTTTTACAGGGAAAATATTTCATATATAAGCACTGTATATTCAAGGCATGTGCACTAAGAAACAGGAGTCACTGTTTCTCAGGGTTTATGCTCTGAATATACACTTTCATATTTTTGCTTTTTTAATGTTCAATTTTTTATTTTCAAATGGTAAGGATCCCTGGGCAGCTGACCACGCAGTGAAGCCATACTTCAACAATAAGAGGCAATAAAAGTAGGCAAAGCATTACATTAAAACTGTACAACCCAACCCACATCATTATACAGAACAATAAATGTTATTTATCCAGCTCCCTCTGAAAATGTAGTACTTTTATTTTCCAAACACCACTGGCAGAAAGGCAGGATATACATTAAAATACAAGCAACGAAGTAGGCAACAAGGCTGCTTCTAAACAGGATCCCATAGTTGTGGTGCTATGATTGAGAACTCCTTGTTCAAGGTAGCCACCTACTGCACAGTATGTGGGAAAATACAGAGGAGTAAAGCCTCCAATAATAGCCTGTAAATCACATGGGAAGAGGCAACTGCTGCATTAGTTTAGCTTGATCGGTGATTCTGGACAGTACTGGTCCAATGAATCTTACATGAACATCATAATGCAGATGCAAATCCACATTTGAATATTCACCTGTATGAGAGACAAATGTACTTTGTGCCTCTGTTATCCTAAATTGGCTGGAAAGAGTCTGCTCCAAGTATTTTTTCTTTCTAAAATGGGACCAGGGGTGCTTCTGAATGGTTTCATAATAATTATGGGATTGATTTTGAAGAGGCTGAAATCCAAAGAAGTAACATCTACTTTGCAAGTGGAGATTTCCAAATTGAGACGGTCTCCAGTTTAAAAGTCTGCCCAGAAGACTGAGATTTGGGAGGCCTGCTGTCAATCATAGTGCTGAGTCAGATAGACCATATGCATTTCCTGCTTGGTTTTCACTGCCAGATTTTTCATTGCAGTGGTAAATTTTCAGTGAAGATGAAATGGGTATGAGCTTTATGTTGCTTCACAGGGTGGAGAATTAATTTTTATTTTCAAAAAGTATTTTGTAAGTGATTTAAAACCCTTCCAGGAAAAAGTTCAATAAATTGTGCAAAGAAATCAGCCCTAAGAATCCATGCACGTATTTCACAATTCCTATTACACCAGTTACCCATTTATAGAGGGAAAAATATACAGTTTTTCTCTTGGCATCTGCCATTCCAGCATGCTGAATATCTCTCTGAATGCAGAGAGACACATTTGCAAGGGGAATTCTGGTAAAGTTCCTATGGGACAAATCTAATTTATGCCCATTTTACTGAGTGATAAAACTACAGAAATTGTATTTATCAAGAATACACTCTGAGCAGCATTACCCATTCAGATACCTTCTAGTTGTGCTGGAGTAGAACTCCCAAATTTCAGAACGAGCACAATTAAAAGACATCAACTTGTAGAAGCCAACTCAATACAGAATTAAAGCTAGAAACTGTCACCATACAATAATGGGAAATTATGAAGGACTGGGAGACAGGGTTAAAAAAAAAAATCAAGAAGAGAAGTTAGCAATAGCAAAAAGAACTAATCCGATTGAGAAGGAAGGAAGGAAGGAAGGAAGGAAGGA